TCTTCCTGGTTGTTTGTGCTACTTCAGCCACTGTCTTCCAGATAGAGCAAGGCCTCTTACAAGGGACTAAGTTCAGCTTGCTCAGTGGATGTTCCTTGTAAATAGTTTGTGCCTTGTGTGGATGCTTTTCTTCAGTACGGTATCAGGCTTGGAGCTCCTGCAAGTGCTCCTTGGCCATCTGCCATACCCTGTCTGGCATGACCTGCAAGGCAGAGCCCGGTGTACTGCATTGGCAGGCATCTTACAGAGCAGGGGCTTCACTACATTGCTGCTCCATGCTCTCCATGTTCCTGGAGGAATCTTTCCTTCCTATGCACTTTTCCTGTATTCACCCTTGTCCTGACCAAGCTCTTAGGGTACCAAAACCCTTCTCCACTCCCAGTGCCACATGGACTAAAGTCATATTCTTCATAGGATAATGTAGTTCATCTGCTCGTGTTGTATCCCTGGTCTGCCCAGCAGTCAGGACAGCCTGATGTGTGTTCTGGTGATTGCTCGCTCAGCCACTTCATTTACAACCTCAGGAATGTGAAGCCCTCAGAAATATGCCAGAGCCAAGAAGGTGTTTGAAAATGCCTGAAGGCAATGAGCCTTCACAGTGAAGGTATCTGTTTCACCCAGCAGGAGCAGCAAGGGCCAAAAATCTCACCACAGTTATGCTAGCTTCAAGAAGCGGAACTACATAAAAAATAATGAGACCACTTGTTAAGAATAAGTTGAAAGTTGCAACTGACAGAATTAAATCCTTGTGTTCCCAGCACAGAGGTTTCAGCCATCCCACTTCCTACAGGTGGATTACAGTCAGTGTGGGGAAGCCTGGGAGCCATAAGCACTCCCTGCCTCTGGCAGTCAGGACAAACTCTGGAGTTGCAGGTGCCCAAGGTCAGGGTACTAAGCTGAGCTCAGCTTTAAGAACCCTGGCAGCACTATGGAGACTGGGAGTAAGATTTCAAAGTTAAGCAGTCCACTATGAGGAACTTCCAGAGCTCAGCACATTGTAGTGTAGTACTACACTACATGTGTGTAGTATCACATGACTATGTGATACTATCTTTAATTTTAATGCATGATCTTCTGTTCTTTTTCTGAAATTTGTCTAATTTGCATCACAGTGATATGGTGATGCTGAAACAGACTATTGGCTGCAATAACCTGCCCAGAGTGATGCTCAACAAGTCATTCCTATGAGGTGTTACATAAATGCTCTCAAAATACATACTCATTGTTCCTCAGATCTCCAAGCTAAGGCTCTGGATATTACTGTCTGAGTGAGATCAGACTCAGAGTGAGTGAGACTGACTAATAAGTACTCATAGCTGCAACCACAACCAATCGCAGCTATATTTTAAACACCAAGACATAATGTTAAGTACTCTGAAAAATCAGGTACTGGAGACCTAAAGGTGATGTATACTCTTTGTTATTCCGTATCATGTTGATCAATACCATAGGAAGATGTGATAGTGGCTTGATACTGAGTGAGGTGCTGATTTACAAACTGTCAGAGGATGGGAATCTTGCAGTAAGCATCTTCAGGTCTCCTGTAGAATCCAACTTACACTGAAGATTTTGTTGTTGTTTTTTTTGTGTTTTGTTTTTTTTTTTTTTTTTTTTAATTGAGATTCATGAGCTGATTTAGATATATTAGGGGTAGAAAAGCAAGACCAGTGCTTCTCACTTTTCCCAGGGGTTCATTCTTCTTTTCTTGCAGAGATTTAGGTTGATTTAACTTTTTCACTAAAGACAGAAACAGGTCAGTGAGGACAGGACTCATCTTTGAGGGGACTCTTGGTGTGATATAGAATTTTCCAGGCATCAGCTAAACTCAGCTTTTAAGTTAGCACTATTAAATAGCACTAACCATGTGAAAAGTTGTTTCTCTGACTTTCAAAATGCTGTTGGGAAGGCATTTATAACATACACCCACACCACATCCCCCGCCTCCAATGACTCCTGGCTAGCTCATATTTGTATCTCACGGGACAGAGAACATTCAAAGACAGAAGACTATCAATTAGACACTCAGTGACGAGTTGCAAGAAAAAAGCTCCAAAGATGGCACAAAAGAAAACACTTTCTAGGGCTGAGACCTGGCAACATACACCAGGAGGCAACTGAACCTGACCAATTTGAAACCCCTATGAATGTTTAGGAAGTTCGGTAACAACATGGAACAATTGAAGACGAGTGTTTGTAGCTCTATCTTGCAGTCATAGCAATGAGAAGCAACAAAATGGCATTCACATCTCAGTCATTTTTTGCTATAGGGTGGAAACACGCTGACACTCAGTTGCATAAATAGTCACAGAAGACATAACTGGCAAAAAAATTTCAGCCCTAGGGAAATCATGTGCACCACACCTGGGAGAATACAGTCAGTATTCAGGTGAAAACTGCTTCTCAGATGACATCACAGCTAGTCTTTGTTGCCTGTTGTTTGGAGATAAAGAGCAGATTTTCTCTCATGAAGAGTGGTGAGCAGTTTTCAGAGCTTTTCTCAGGAAAGTGTTTTAGAATGAAAAGCTGTGTCATCTGCCTTTGTCTGGATATATTTTGTAAGGAAGACAGACTACATTCTTAGGATTTTAAAAACATTTTTATTAATTTTTATTGCTTTTGACTTGTTTTTATAGTAAAAGAACAAAGAATAACATGTTACATAACATAATGTATATAGACTGAAGTCCTTCAACAAGCTACTTTAACACAGTTACTTTCTTGCACCATAGTCATCTCTCACTGTTTGAAAAAATAGACTTTTCAGGGGTTCTACCTCATTAGAAAAAACTCAGAACCTCAGACAAAACAACTGTGAGGATGTTTTAAGACTCCTCTTCTAACTCTCAAAATTCCTTACAAGTAAAGGAACAAATGTAATCCCTATTAATGAATAGAAATAATTTTTAAAATAACTAACAATCTATGTTGACTCAAAACATCTTCTGATACAGCTCATCAGCCAGGCATGAGAGGTGGGGTATGTGTGCATTTGTGTTGGACTCCTCTAGGAAGGAGAATACAGTAGTCCTCTGATGGGAGCTGGGGTTATGGCAATCAGATGTGGAACTACACCAGGACCCTCCCATTTGCTGAAAGGCTTCAGTCCCTGGACTAAGGAGAACATTGCTTTTACCCTGGTATTTTCTGACAGAGGATCTCACTATCTTTGGACTGCTTTCCTAAGGTCTGGGGTGAAAATGGAGCAAAAGGACTAATTCAAAGCTTCTCCTCTTGTTGTTCTCCTGCTTAAAAAAGGGAAAACTCAATAATAATAGAGGCAGCCAGCTTTCAGGATCCAAAACTGGATCCAGTGGGTCTTTTCCCAGATAGAAGAGAACAGTCTGAGAACGTGGAATAAGAATTACATGCTACAGGATGGTGTAATGTGAAGGAAAGCACAAGGGCATTGACATAGGAACATTCACAATTTAACTGCAGAGGAGGGGGCTAGCACATGAGCTTGAAAAAACCATGAAATTGGTCCCCTAAGTGAAATAAAATGTCACTTACATAAAGAATACTTAGGGAAAAAAGAAAAGCCTTAAAAGGTGAGAAAGGTGGGAGAAATTGGGAGTGAGTGGAAAGGACAGACTACTTCTGATCAAGGAAGGAGCTGTGGGCTGCAATTAGCAAAATGGTATGTGACTCCTGCACTGTGATTGTGTTGCAGTTCTGAACCACTCCTTGGTTTACTGCTGTTCTAATAGCTGGAGTGCTGAATGATAAAAGCTGTACTCTGGACTGCCAACAGGAATTTCTTTTAGCTTTTAGTGCTGAAGCTATATTTTAAATGAAAACTGCTAGCTTTTATTTCTGGAACAACAGTAGCAGATAACTATAGCACAGCCGTGGATTTATAGCAATGCTTTATGTGTGGGGATCGATCTTTTAGGCAGGATTTGCTCTCCTCTCCACAACAACCCCTTGCTCCCATCAACATGTTCAACATAGGAAAGAGAAGCTGGGGGGAAGCAGTTCTTATGCAATGAGGCTTGTCAAGCTGAAGGCAATGATTAGAGATGCCACCTCCTCTTATGAATATTATGTAGCTACAACAAACCTCGTTCCTTGCCTCCAAACAAAACAAAAGCCCTTCCTTAATGACAGGGCAGCAGGGAATCTCGGTGCTTTCCCTGAGCATTGAAGTGGTTATGAGTGCCTCACCATGCACCGACACTCAGGCTTCCAGAGACCAGGAGACACAAATCGGTAGGGTTAAGTGGATTTGCTCTGTGCATGCCTGCATATATACACATCCTAACCTCCCCCTGTCTCCCCACCTGCTCTGATGTTATCTCTCTTGGGAAGCACCATTTGCCTGCTTGTCCAGACAAGCTCCAGAGCTTGAAGTGCCCAGGGGTGAAGAGAAAAGCCTTTCTGCTGATGGGGGTGTGTGAAGGGAGACTTGCCTCATGCTAAATACAAGGAAGAGGGAGCAACTAATGCAATACTATCTTCTGCTAGATCAGGGGGGACTACTGGCACTGTCTGGTGACAGATCATAATGGTTCTCTGTCTTAACTGGCAGCAAAAACATCCTAGGTGTGCCATCGAAGGAGGGGAAACACAGTGTCATTTGGAGTGCTGCTTCTTTGGATTTGCAATCACAAAGGAATAAATAGTAGGATTAATTCATTTAGCTATTGATCTCAGACATACTCATTTTCATTTAACATTATTTGAACAGCTAGAGTCTCATGGCTCATAGCTTGTGGGCAGTACAGCAGAGACAACATTTGCAAGCCCTTTTCCCCATTTGCTGATGAGGTAAATCTTAGCAAATTCCTTATGGGGAACCCCCAGGGAAAGGTCTCCTATGGAAAAATAGCCTAATGTCTGGGCAGGTGACTAATTCTGTTCTCTACAGATACATTCACAGCAGATAATTTGTGGCCTCGGTGACATGGGGACATACCCATGGAAATCCCATATAGAAAGTTGTCAGGAAGGGAAGGAAGAAAACAGCATGGGCTTGATGTAATTAGATCTGGATATACATGCATACCCATGCGCACAGTGTCTCAGCTAACCAGGGGAAAAGTTAACCAGGGAAAAAGCTCAAACACAGGCTCCCTGTACCTCCATAAACATGAAGATCTATGACAGTGGGAGAAGATAGAATATGGTGCAGGGAGGCATTAAGACATTTTTCAGTAGTTTCATCACATGGAGCATGAGGTCTGTTCAGGGTCCCAAATAACTTCTTTGCCAAATTAATCTGCAAAGGACTTTCTCATAAGTAGCTCTTACAAAACCACCCTGCCCATGAGCAAATGGATGTAAGGGCCAAAAATAAGTGTCAAAGGTGATGAACACCATGCTAGGATCTGTGGAGTCACCAGGTGATATCAGTAGAGATGCTGGTGGCTTAGATGATCCCAAACTGGGCCAGCTCGTGCAGTTCCAGATGGCTGAAAGCTTCCCATGGGCAAATCACTGTGATATCTGCAAAACAGAGAGAAGGAGAAATGGGTTCTGGTCACTGCATTTCTTGGATTTCTTTTGTATTAATGGAAAGGTTTATTTACTCAGGAAGCATTAAGAATGAGACTCCATTTGAAGATTAAATGAGCAGGTGAGCTCTTCAAATCTAGTACTTCCTATCAAACCAAACCAGGTCAGTGTATTTTCTCCTGTGCCATCTTTCTCTGTGGGCAAAAGCAAACCAGCATTTCCTATAGTCTCTTCAGTGACTGTGTAGACTGACACAAAAAATCATTCCAGTTACATGTTTTTTCCTGTTCTTATAAACTACTTGTAGCCAAACTGTGATCTCCTTGAAGACGCGTGCAATCTTAAACCAGATTCTGAGTAATTTGGTCTACAACATTCAGGGTCTTTAACTTTTTGATAGGTGAAGTTGTTACTGATGCCTAAGAAGTCCTGACTGGCTACAGCTCATCCAGTTCATGTTTCTCAATCCCTGATGAGTGCACAAAATTTTTAAAATTAGGATTCTGATGATAACACAAATACTTAACCAGCTGGGATTTAGTTCCTGTGGTTTTTTGTTATTAATAGCTTAGCATTTGGCATTTCTTTGAGAATTTCATTCTGCTGAAATTCTTAGCCAGAATATTAGCAGAAAACAAACAAGCACATTTGCAGCCAAATTAAAGTATCCAGAAATTGAAGCATGCCTAAATAGCCTTTCTGTCTTATAATGTATATAAGCATAAGCATGACTGTGGCAGCTTGCAGAGGGAGTACTAGCCTCCTTTGGTGACCCTGGTAGCTGCAGAGAGGCCGGGGAGACAGAGGCCACCCCAGAGAGTCCTCTTCTGTGCTGAAGCATGACTACACTTGTGTTAAAGAAGGTCACGACAACAACATCCTGCAGGGCTTACCTGTGCCCAGTCCCTCCATGCCTGGGATGTCATCTCCAAACCTAGGGGAGAAAAGAGCAGATGAGGGAGTGTTTGGGCCAGCAGCACCCAAGAAAGGGGAGCTGCCCTGCATCTCCAGCCAGGGAGGAGAATTGCAGATGGGCAGCAGATGAAGGAAAACAGCTCTGGGCGGGAAAGCTGATGACACCAGGGGGCCGAGGGAGGCCTCCTGACTCCTTGCCCAAAGGAAGATGGTACCCAGAAGCCCAGCTTAGCAGTGGGGAGCCGCCCGACTAGCATGGCTTCTTTCCTTTCCAAAATGCCCTTACCCTTTTACTCCTTTTTTAGGGGGCTTGCTCTTGAATTGCCTTGTCTGTCGCTGCTTGAACTTGGGAGGCCCCTTGCGTGGTGTGGTGGGACCAGTTGTAGCCTCTCCAGTGTTGAGGTTGGTGGGTGGGTTCTCACTCATCGCTGGGCTGCTGTGCGTGTCAGGCACGCGCCTCTCTCAGATCCCTCTGTCTGCAAGATAACAGCAAGGACTGACGAAACACTCTGCTTATCATTTCTAGGTATCAGTAGTCAAGTGACAGCATTACGGAAAATATAATTGTGACAGGATTAAAGATAAAGATATTAAACATAAAGGAAGATTATAATGCCTACAAAGTAAGAAGGATAGCACTGCCTTTCATCTGGCATGCTAGAATTAAGACGTCAAACAAAGGACACTTGAGCTAAGGACAAAAAGACACTTAACCCCATAGTGCAATGACTTGCAGAGTCATGAAGAGTTATGCTTTCTTTTGTCTCAGACATAGCTGGACTCTTGGAGACAGGTTGCTGCAGAGCCTGTCCCACAGTTTGGGTAAAACAGGAAGGATAATGCCAATGTTGTTTGTTTTCTAGTTAGCCTTGGAACAGCAGTACTGTTGTTTTTATTTACTGGTTCAGGACATGACTACTAGGAGCCACAAAGACACACTTACAGCTTAGAGAAATATCCTATCCTTGGGAAACGTCATAATATACTTCACCTGTTCTTATACTTGTGCCTAAGCACTACCTTTTGGACAGTGATGGAGATGGAATGCTGAACTGGGCTCTTAGTCTGAATGGAGCTGCAATTAGAGGGTTATGTTAGTCAATAGCAAACTTACGGGAAATAGGATCTTTGAAAGATTGTAAAGAAGGCTAAGGCAAAGCATTGGAGACTGTCTTTTAGGCAGAAATTAATTTCTAGGGATTTAGGAGAGTAAAGCCTGTAACTTTCCTCAGGTTATGCCCATTTCAGTATTTCTGAGCAGGATATTACATGTACTGACCTCTTCTGCACCACACTGCACATGAGCCAAGCTCCACTTCACAGGGGCTAAATAGTTATCAGGGGGCAATTCTTGTGTGGGAGACATCTCTCCTGCCTCAGAGGGCAGAACGGCTGTACTCAGAGTCCTTTGCTTCCTTCCCAGAGAGGACAGCAATAACTCCTACCAGTGCCCAAGGGGGAGCTTACAGCCCTACATCAAATTTTGTCCTAATTAGTATGCTAGAATGCATGGTCTGAGCAAGTGCATTTATGAACAAAAATAAATGCCATTTTTGACTCCCCTCCTTGAAGTCACGTTCTTCTGCATGACCATTACATAACTCCTGTCTCCAGGTGTTTGTCCCTGTGCAGTCAGGCCGATGGAATCGCTGATGGAATTAACTTCAGGATTTGGTACTAAAGGCTAATCCCATTATGTCACCATAGCACTCTGGCCTAATCCCCAGCATCACCTTGGACACTCTGGATTTTTAATCTCAGAACTATAAATGCCATCAAAGATTTTTTTTTTTCCTTAGTCTGAAGACAGTTCGTATCTTTGGCAGTCCTGAAATAGCCAAAGTGCCAGAAAGCAAAGCCTGAGATGCAAGGAGGAAGACCATCCAAGCTATCCTCCTGTGTCACTTCCACATCAGTGCAAGGCAAAGAGACATTTTTTCTGTATCTATGGCAATCTGGGAATACTTCACCCCTGACATCTTTCCCTTTGTGCTGGCGGTAGGATGGATCCTAGTGATAGCACCTAGAGGCATGCTAGTTCTCCTGTCACTCGTGGTCAGGCTCCTGTCTCAGCTGTAATATCCCAAGCAGGAGACTGGATGGGTTCCAGCAGCCCCAAATGGAGCAGCAGATGGTTGTGTCTGCAGCTGAAGTACGCACAGATGCTATTCCCCAGCCTGTAACACAACGCTTCCTAAGCTCACGCTGTGCCCACAAACAACGGATCAGCTCAAATCATAGAAGTTACTTATTTGGCTGCCATCTCTGCAGCACCTGAACAATCACCCAGTATTTACAGCTTTATCCTCACAGCATGGTGGCAGGACAAGCAAACACTCGGACGGAACAGAGGTGCAGTGATCAGTATGACCTGGACTGCACTGCTGGGAGAACTGACAAAATCTTTTGACTCACAATTTCTTAGGGCCAAACTGAGAGGGGAAGGCAGTTTGGCTCTAAACCAAAGAGAAAAACTCCACCAAAGTGCCTCGCTGTTAGTCAGGACCAGTGAGGAATTCAGACAGTACTGCCCTACCACAAAATACTTTGCATCAGAAAACTGCTCCATGGCATGTCCGCGAATGACCCAAAGCATAGTATTATACCTCTGCCTCAGGTGCAGTTCTCTTCGGTAGGATGTCTGTCTCAGTGCTAGATACCCCTCCTGAACTACAAGAGACACACATCCACTTCTAAGCACCATGTTTATCTGGCATGCCAAGATACTTGGCACCCCTCTCAAGGACTACTGCCAAAAGTACAACAGAAGAAACAAACTGGCTAACAGATTCTCAACCCTTTGGACTGGCATCCAAAACTTATAAGCTGCATTTGAGATCCATCTTCAAGTGAGTTCCTGCCCTGCTTCACAGACCCTTGCTGTCTACCAGCATGGTACCTTAACCATGGAAGCGTCTTTGAGGGTCAACTTCTTTTAATTCCTTGAGTCCATGCCTTGCCCCTGGCCTTCACTCAATACAGAAATAGATAATGGGAAGACTCAGTCCTTGGAGTTTCCTTTTCCCCCGGTCTGAAGTAGTTGCAGCTACCCACCAGCTACTCAATAACCCAGGATATGTTAAGAAAAAGGATCTGCCCAAATCACACTTCATCCTCCTTCTCACCTGCATGAATTCAAGAAAGTACGCAACAGAACTAAAAGGGACAATTCTAACTTCCTTACCAACCTACCTCTACCTATTCTCTCCACATATCACCAAAAGAAAAGAAATGGCAGAGGATGGAAAACAACCTTAATGCCACATAAGAGCATCCCTCTTGCAGCAGAAATCAAGCTGCCCTCCCACCACTGAGCTGGTGAGACTCACTTGCCGTCACATGCGAGCAAAGATGTTTCCCTTCATGCTGGAAAGGGTCCTGCCCCACAGCATGGGAGCTACCTCAGTTCCCACACCTCAGGAACCAGCTGCCCCTGCACAAAGCCAGACATGAGTGGTAGGCACTCCAGGATCACAGATGTGAAAGAGATGTCTGCAGCAACTTCCCAGGGGAATTTCCCAGCCTTTTGCCTCCCCGTACCTGGATACTTGGATAGTCCTTGGTACCACACCAAACAGATGGCTTGACAAATGTTTGATGAGACTGAGCCTCCTCTGGATCTCCGCAAGTCCTATGCTTCCTCCTCCCAGTGCTTCCTGGGCTGCCAGCTCTTCTCCTGCCACTGGCACTGGGATGCAGCTCCTGGGTGAGAGCTGATGGCTGTGGATGCAAAGGCTCTTGAGGAGCAAGATGTCCTTCCGTGCACTTCCTCTGCCCCCTCCTCTGACAAGGTGTTACCTAATTGCCCCTGACAGCATTTCTGCTCAGTCCAGGGTTTAATCCTCTGGATAAGAGCTTTGCTTGCGTCTGAATGCTAATTATACCTAATACACGGTAATGGGTTTATCTCAATTGCGTCAGATATCCCACCTCTGGGTTGCTGGCCAGGCTAATCATCCTTCTTTTAGTTTTCTTTGAACTTAAAGGGCTTGAATACTACCAGCCAGTGCTGACTTTTTAATCTGCCCCCTCCTTAATCTCTGATTCCCCATGGAAAATTTCCCTGACAAATAATGCAGATGCATCACTTGACTTTCTTCAGACAGATTCAGTATAGAAACTCATCTTCCCTGGGCTGTAACATTCAAAAATACAGACTCCTCCAGGTGCACTTGTCTTCATGGTGCATCAGGGGTGTCAGACACAGAACTCCCATGAGCTGTGGCCCTCCATGCAGGGATACACTGGGAGTAGGCAGCAACCAGGAAGAAATACCCTTGTTTTCACATTCCTTTTGACAGGGTTCTTGCATGCTCAGCTCTTGACCTCATGAGAGCCATTAGCATCATCCTTGCAGCCAGGCTTTCATCAGATAATATTGTATCCAGTGTAAGATGCCTGTGAGGAGTCTCACAGCTCCAGTCTCAGTTGCTTGAGCTGGCTAATTGTAGTGACCGAAAAAGTCCAAGCAGGTCCAGCCCTTTCTGTTCCTGTGTTTTACACAGGATTTGATATCCTTCATTCTAGCAACAGTTTTAGGGCCAAGAACAGATGAAAGAGGATACACTCTCAGACAGAATCTCATTTCAAGTAGAGTTATATTCCCACAATTGCTTCCGGATGGGGATCATTGGAAAGACTATGCCAGTTGAAAGAAAGGATTCAGTAACACCAGAAGTACAGCATCACACAATATAAACTCCCTACTGATGTTCCCTGCATGTAGTGCTGGGCTCTGCAGTAGGAAACACCAGCTACCTGTCCCAGCAGCTCCTCAGGAGCACCACCAGCATTGCTTACATGCCGGTTCAGACAGCTGAGGACACAAGCCAAGGGGGTACCAGGGAGCCCTGACCAAAGGGTACCTGACATGAGAAACCAGACAGCCCCATGGAGAGCAGAGCTGCTCGCACAGCCAGGGAGCTTTGAGACAAACCACTGCTGCAGCACTTGCCCTAATGTTAGAGGAAACAGAAAACAACCACATAAGAACCACAATTCCCTCTCTTAACCTCCGGGTCTGTCCATTATCTTCAAGCACAAACATCCGAATTTTCCCCCCATGGGTTTTTTTCAAGACTTTTCTCTCTGGCTTTTGCAGCGAGTTCCTCTTTCATCCCCCTGCCACCCTCATTATTGCTTTGAGCTCCTGAGAAATACTTACAGTGCCAAGGGCTCCTCTTGCAAATCATTCAACTCCCGTCCTCCAGCCTTTGTAGAAAGGGTCTCGAGGTGTCCTTTCTCCTCCAGATATACCCTGCCACCAGGTGACATCAGGGCACCAATCGTGGGCGGCCTCTGCATGGCTGGGGGGGGTGTGTGGGGGGTGTGGGGGGATGGGACGGGACATGGATGGGACATGTGTGGGTAGTGCTGTGACCCTGGCGCTCTGCTGGCGCAGCTCCAGTGAGGTCTGGGACAGCAGCAGAGGCCTGACAATACTCCTGAGGGGCAACATGCTCCTTTCTGCAAGAAGACGTTGTGGCTTCTCTGGAGATCCTGTGGGGAGATCTCTGGAGAAGCAAAAAGGAATAAGGAAATCACCTGCCCTTTGAGCAATGCTGCTGCTTGTGAACACACACACACATGCCTGCACATGCAGATAAGGGAGGTGTTGGTCCTAATCACCCCAAGTCCTCCCCTGTGCTGCTGAATGCATGGAGAGGTTTCCAGCAAACTTCTCAGTGGTGCCACAGGGGTTAAGGTAAGGTGCAGGCAGCCAGCCCAGTGCAGAAAGGGCTGAGCCTTCTCAAGGAGGTCATAGACAACGCTGCTGTGATGCTGCACAGCGCCCCAGTGAATATTTAACTGCAGCAGATGGGATGGCAGGGGAAGAAGGGGGAACGTTTTTGTTGCATGTGGGTGGCCAGCCAGCAGGGTGGCCTGTCGCCTCTGAGACCCGAGGTGTTGGGCTGAGGGTAACAGCTTGGTCACATCTGGGTACCAGTAGCATTTCTACTGTGAGGGGTTGTCTGAGACAAGGAAGAGCTGGTGCCTCAGCCGAAACTCCAACCCAGCAAAACTCCATGGATGGTAATGCACACTGTTTTATCAGGTGCTTTGTATCTCAAATGCATTTTAACAGCCCGTTGTGACTGCCTGGAAGATCAGTGGCAGAGATGTGGAAAAAGTGGGCAGAGTCTCAGGATGAAAGAGAAGGTCCAGGGCTCTGTTAGAAGGTGCTGGAATATCATCCTCATCCTCAACTGCAGTAGCATCTCAATCATGGACTGTAGCTGTCTGGTTTGAGGCATAAACACAGGGTTGACAGTCCTCTGGGGTCTGTTGGCTCTGGTGAAGCACTACTCACTTACCCTTGTTGAGCCTCCAGCTCACAACATGAGACCAGGGCTGGCAGGGCTGAAAATGATCCCAGAGAACAGAGCTATGGTGGGAGCATCAGAGCAGCGCAGGGGCCAAAGGAAACCAAGGTGTGGATTTGTGTAGTGATGGATAGACTTCGTCTTTGGGTGAGGGTGGAGGAGGGGATTTTGGAGCAGCTGTGCCAGGCAGGAATAGGCTCTCTCTGACATGAGAGACCTTGGCAGCAGGGACCAGTCCAGCACTGCTCTGGTGCTGTGCAAGAGTCCCACAGCTGAGGCCTCCGGCCTTTCAGATGGCTGGAGTTAGATGAGATAAATCTTTCAGCGAGACTCTTAGCTTACATTTAAAAAAATCAATAAGGTTGTAGCCCTTGAGTGGGCACAGAGAAGCTGGAAAGTAAGTCCTAGATGCATCTGAGGGGCTTTCAATCTAGCAGAGAAGGAGCAAACACACTTAGCGTTCCCACGTGTTTGAGGATGATTGCACAGCTTTCGGAGACTTGTGCGATAATTTCTGGGCACAGGAAAGAGGACGGGGGCAGCATTGTGTTGGCATCGTCTCTTTCCTGTGACAACTAGAGCTTGTATACAAATGCACTGAGATTGATTGCACTCAGCAGCTCCTGACAGCAGAAGTGATTACTGTGGGCAGGGACCTGCTTGTGTGGATATAAAGAGGTGCAGCCTGCTGGCAGCAGACTCCACTCCCATCCCCGCTGCTCATTCCCATGCCTCCATCTGCTGCAGACAGGTTTCCGGGGGCTCCCCCTCCCCTTCTGCCTTCTCCTATGTAGGTAGAGTTGCTGGGGAAATTGGCTCTACAGCCTCCTACTCCTCTTTTCTGAACCTTAAAAATTTACATATTTTCAGGCTGTTTGTTTTCAGAACACCCTCTTTGTTTTCCTGTTTACCCAATGAAATCTGTCTCATTTCTCTTTAACAAAAGTGGACATGTGGGAAAAAAATTTCCGTGGTGTCACATGAAGCTATTTTTTGGCCACTGACAAAGCATGGCAGAAACTCCCTGAAGGGTCCTGCTTATGTTCTTTCTTAACTTCCATGATTATCAGGCCATTTCCCACTCCTCTCTTTCCATCCATACTCTCTCTCTCCCTTCCCCTCACAAAGAGGGTGGCATTTGCTTTGCAGGGATGCGAGCGTGCAGCTCCTTTGCAGCGCAACAGGCACCAGCTGCCACCCCAGATGGATGATGAGTTCTGCCCAGCGACTGAGTACTTGATCCATGTCCCTCCCTGCCCCTGCCCGGGCTTTTCCTGCCCTGGCCCCAGGAAAGCCAGCACCACCCTTTCGGGCCACGTCAGTTGCCACTCGATCCAGACCAGAGCTGCACCAGAAGCAATGGGGTCCAAGCAGCAGCAGGAGTGCATTCCCTGTGGCCCCAAAGGAAAACCCGTGAGCTTTGTTACCTCTGGCTGGATTATTCTTTATTCCAGGGAATCGCTTAAAAACATCTCCAAGGTTTCTGACCCTATTTATGAGCTGGTGTAGCCATGGTAACTGTAGTTACACCAGAAATAGCAGCTCACTTGAATGACAAAGAAAACACAAGTTTACAAGACAGTGACTTTTTCCAGGGGCTGGCTGAGCTCATGGGACTGTGGGAGGAAATCCCAGTTGAGGCGCAGACTCGGGGATGCAGCAGATGTGGGCTGTGGCTGGCATGGGCCACAATAACTCTTTTGAAACATATCTCTGCAAGCTTGTGCCAGGTGCTTGGGAGACTATGTGCCTTATTGATAGAGCTTTATCACTTGCCACACAGACATACCTGACTGGAAACGAGCAGGGAATTTCCCAGGCATCTGCAGTTAAACCTCGGTTTCCCTCCTAGAGACTGACAGCCTACCGAGTGCCCCTGAATCTCTGGTGAGAGGATTGTCGTAGGACCAGGGTATGAAATGAGATTCTGTATTGGTCTTGTAGAAGGTCAGTGAGGTTGTCATGTCAACAGCATTTTGGTGAGAAACTCGGTGTACCAAGGTGTCTGCAAAAGAAGATTCACATGCTGTAACCCTCCTCTTCCAATGCCCATCATGTTCTTAAGCTGTCTGTTGTTTGTGCTAATGAAAAAAAAGATATAGAGGATTGGGCTTTGCCTGTCACAGATATTTAGCTGTTTGATTACATGCAAATCAGTCCATCAAAGATGCAAAGAAGGCGGCATCCTTGTGGAGAGTTTTATTGTTCTTCCTTTAGGAAATCATGCACCACTGTTCTGGTGTCAGGATTAAGCATCTATAACAGCCTGCAAAAAACTGGGCGTGCTGACTTTGGGAATCTGTGCCTGCTGCTGGATATAACAGTTCTGTTGAGTGTCTCCAAGCTCAGTTTGCAAAAAAAAGCCTGGTCTCGATTCTCATTTCCACTTGTGCCCTGGAGGCTGCTCTGGCAATGGGGCA